GTCACATGATTTCAGTATGCAGTACAAGGGAGTGGTGCTATTATTAAATGTTTACTGGTCTCAGTATCTTACAGTACAATAGTTCACACAGAGTAAGTGTCTAAGAAAGGGAAACCTCTGACAAACACACTTTAGTGTTAGGCTACGTCTAAATGGAGTGTGGATGGAGGATCTGTACCACGGACTCATTATATGTAGACAGTACCAGCACCCACAGCTGTCTGAATACTTGATCAGTGACTACATCTCAATCGATTTTTAAATCTGGTGCTGACAAGGCCACCCACAGCTCAAATTTTGGTCAGTTCAGCAGAATCAGGCAAATATTTGAGAAGTCTATGGTCAGTTGTACTCTACGTTATGTATTCCTAAACCTGACACTGACTTCAGCAACACACTATATTGTACATTCAATACTTCTCACAAAAGTGTTCATTGTCTCAACAGTTGCTGGTTGCAGAACATTTCCTGACTTTTAAGCTAGGCTTAGACAAAGTGTTAAAGCTCTATATTCAGTGTACCCAAAAGCATACAGTATGATAATAGCAGCGTTCATTTCTAATTTTTTCTTTTAATGATTGTGCCGAGTTTCATATGTATCTGGAAAATTGTTGATTGTGCAACACCAATCAAAGCATATTTTATAGGGTACAAGGAGGCCCAAGTTTTGTTTAACCATGTCCCTTAACCTCCCCTAGTGGTATGATTATGTCCATATTTCTGCGCTTAAAGCAGTACATTTTTTTGCATGGAAATATGTTTGTTTTTTTTATTGTAGGCCTGTAATTTCTAGGAATAACTCACTGAAATCTGTCTGAACAAGAGTCTAGTAAACATCCCGGGTATGTTACAATTTGAAACACGAAATCATAAATGATAATTTAATAAAATAATCATCATAAAAAATAATAATATAATAATAATACATTTATTTCAATAATATAATCAAACCAAAAACACTGAAATTTCAAATATAGCGCCAAGTTTGCACATCACTGAGCAAAGTCCGCAAAATCGTTTTCAGTGTCTGATGACGAATTTCCCCCACGAATCATTATCACTCAATTCTGCAAGTGGTTCTAATTTTACTATCGCTGTTCTCTAGCTGGTCTAAAACCGCTTTTGACCTAAAGGGACGCTTTTTGGACGCCATGGACGTTCCTCAGTTTCCAGGCAGAAAGAACAGTAAAAATGTAGGCAGGGCACAGGACAAAGCACTAGGGACAAAATGTATGTGAAATGGGTTGATACAGTAATGTTTTACTATGTGATTTTAGTGTATTTAGTGAATGTCACTTTTTGTCATTTTCAAATTTCCCTCGTACGTCCTGACACTCGCAGGGGACAGAACCCAGATGACAGATGCCGGCATCCGCCGGGAGGACATTGCCGGGGACACTGCAGGAGGGACATCGTGGGAGCGCAGGACAAGGTAAGTGAAGAACAGATCCCAGAGCAGCGCCGCATGGTATTCCCGAGTGTAGCTCGGGGTTACCGCTTTTGGTACTGAAACTTTACCCCGAGCTACACTCGGGAATACCGCCAGGGGGGGGTTAAGCCCCTGCCCTTGTTAACAGTTTGGTCACAACCACAGTGCACAGCTTTACCACTATCCTTGGGGTGCCCAAAGGTGCCTCATTTTTGGCACTGAGAAAGACTGAGACGCCCTCTGCTGGAAAGCTGTAGGCCTAAAGGCTCAGGGGGTGGGGGTTTCAGGCATGATGGTGAAGAGCAAGCTCAGTGGCTGAAGTTTGCTGATGCAATAGTGTTGAAATTGGTGGTTGCAGGTGTACTGGTGTCTCAGCAAGGAGTGGCATCTGCAGTGTGAGCCCATTGGCACCTACTGTAATTTATAGACTTGGGTGCCATTGTAAAAGAACAGAGTGCATTGCGTTACCATTGCGGTAAATCGCACATGATCACAACACATAGGTGTAAAGGGGGTCTTAAAGGCTAACTATACCTTAAGAAAAAAAACTTAATTCTAATAACCTCCCTCCCTGCGCATCCAAAACCCCCTTGCACTCACCCCAGATTAGCAGATGGTAAAGTCCAGGAATCAGCACCATATTGGATGGTGATGAGAGAAGCCTCCCTTGAGGCGTACAAGGATATAGCATTTGTATTCAGGCCTACAAAGAGCCTTGTATTCCAGGCACTCTGCACCTCAGGGTCAGCATTGCAGCTCCCAGTCAATCATCACCTCTACCACGGAACCCCTGCACCCTGACTCTGAACCTCCTTGCCACCTAGCATCCCTTCCACTGTCTCCTGGCTTCCAGTATCCCTGTCACTGAATTCCAACACCCCAGACAATGCACCTTTCTGCCAGCTGTAAAGATACACTTTTACGATGTATATTGGTGTAGTTTGAATAGGAAAGGTGCAATATGACATTATTGAATTTTGACAGTTCTTAAAGGGATACTAAAACTGTAGTTTTTTAAAGCCTTTCAGCAGCTTATTTAATGTCTAAAGCTAGCCATAGATGTTTTTTCTTTTTTTTTTTTTTAATCAGCTAGCAGGCAACAAATTCCTCCATCCACACAAGTGAGGTGGATCGAGGAATTCTCACCCACTGGGACATTTTATTCTGATAGCGGGACTTGGCCCTGTCAGAACATACTGATCAGTGGCTGTAACCACTGATCAACAAAAGTTTTTACAGCTTGTTCATTCAATGGAAGTCAGTCTAATAATCAACTTCTATTGAACAGGGAGGACCACACAGATTGAAATTTGGCTGGTCCGCACTGAACCAGCCAAATTTTGATCCATCTCTAGCTATAGCCACCTCTGCGGAGTATGCAGCTTCTTCACATCTTAATCCTTGCCTATGTTCCTGTTTAAGCTGGTGCCATGACTGCTGGCCTATGTTTCCTGGTTCAGGATGGCTCAATTCTTTTGCAGCATCCTATGAAGCCACCCTTGTACACAGGGACTAGAGTGGTGTCTTTCTACACTGTGTGTATCCCCTCTTCCCCTATCCTCTGTTCTCCAAGCTAACAGACTGAATGGAGACTGCAAGGTTCACTGTTACAATCGAAAGATAGTGCTACGCTGCTAAATTAAACTGTGCTGCTACAAAATCGTCGCATGCGAGAAACAAGCTACTCAATCAAATGAATAAACTAATCAGCAAATGCCCACCAGCCTAACACACATAAATATTATGAAAAGATGAAGATAAATTACTGATCAATAGCACCAATTAAATATACAACAGATAAGTATAAATACCATTAGGCAAAATAAACTATTAAGTAAACACCCGCCAGCCGCTCCAACACACGCAAGTTGATATATCTGATAAATGGGTATTTTCAAGCAAAAATAAAAGGATCAATAATTATGTGTAAATAACAATAAGCAAAAGGTGTCAATAATACACAAAATGATGTAATGTAAATCCAAAAGGTAAAAACCTGGCCAACCAGCAAACACAAAAGTGTCAGGAAACACTCCTCAGTCCCCTGGAAGTGGGTTTTTTTTCCTGCCTCTAAACTCTTCTGCCACTAAACAGAGCAGCACAGTGGCTAAAGAGTTGCACGTCTGCCTAGCAGTACTAGGGTCATTGGTTTGAATCCTACCTGCCAGGACTTTGCATGTACTTCCTGGGCCTGCGTGGGTTTCCTCCGGGTACTCCGGTTTCCTCCCACACTCCAAAGACTCCAAAGGGTTAGGGACTGTTGTGAATGTACAATATATATACGTATATATACACACACACACATACTGTATACACACATACACATTTAAAGCGTTGAGTAAATTGACAGCGCTATACAAGTACCTTCAATAAATAAAAATAAAAAAAATAAATACTGCTAAAAGTTTTTGTGTGCATGGACACAGACTAACATGCAGAAAAATAAGACGCCAAACACCCCCTAGGAGGAGCTATAAAAAGGTCATCTGTGCATGAAGCCTTAGTGACACTAAATAAAATCACATTTATTCAAGTAAATCAAAGTGTATCACCCTATTCACACATCTAGAGAATTAGGATTTAATTCTCTCAGTCTGGGGGGGCGTGTCCAAGATGGCGACTGGAGCGGCTGCATAATCCGGAGCTCCATCCTCTTTCCACCTAATCCGCTGCCAGGATGGCGGCAGTGGACTGACAGAGCTCACCGGAGGTCCCTGCTGGTACTCGGCGGAGGGGTGCGGAGTGACTTTGGACCCTCTCCGTGGCAGCGGACCATCGCGACCTGTTGCAGCCTAGTGAGGCCTTGTGTGGCGCTGGGCTCGTGCCCACCCAGGGGACACGTGAGGTCTGCGGTGGGAGAGGGTGTTTGCCAACCATCGGGCCCCCCCACCCGGGCCATCGGGCCCCCCCACCTGGACCCAGGGGACAGCGGCCTATAATTAAGGCCTTGAGGGTCCTCCATTAAAGGGAGCTGCAAAATGGCCCCTGCTGGGCCTGAAGGCCTGTTGAGGCAGATAGACAGCCACTTGGGGATACAGAAGTGCTTCCTGCACCCCCCCGAAAGGCTCTGGAGCCAGCACCCCAGTGAGATTATAATTTCACAGCCCCAGTGCCTGTCGGCTCCCCACACAGTCTGAGGCCTACATTTGGGCCCCTGGCCTTTATTGAGATCATACACTACAAGTTTATAATTGTTCGGGGACGTGGCTTGAGCCCGGAGAAGATGGAAGCTCAGTTCCCGGAGCCCCGACACACGGAGATAGGAACACGTGACCATAGCAGGGAGAGACACCACTGTTATGGGGAAAGCAGATAGGAGACCCGCCGCCCCACGATCGCGGTCTCCCCGCCAGGCGAGTGGACCTGCCAGCCACAGCATTCCGGGTTTATTCCGGTCCCAGACCCGAGAGCACATTGAGGCCTCCTCCCTTGCTGCCTCCTCTTACTCGCTTCACAGAGCGTCCCGCTCGTGGAGCAGAAGCCCAGCCGCAGCACCCACAGCCTTCAATTCTGCAGCCCCCCCCTCACTATTATTATTATTATACAGTGTTTATATAGCGCCAAAGGGTTTGCTCGGTGCTGTACAATAGCGAGGGGGACAGAACATGAGACAATACAGTACAATACACGAGGGGTTTGAGGGCCCTGCTCTTTCGAGCTTACAATCTAGGATAGGGGATTTGAAAGCAGTAGCATCAGATATTAAAGAGACCCTCTCTGCAGCAATTGCAGAACTACATATTGATATGCAGGCAGTGGCCCAAAGGCTTGAAGCAGTGGAGGATAAGGTTATTATGCAATACCTTGCCATCCATGATGTACGCAAACTGGTAGATACGCACACTATGCACCTAAGAGAGCTTGATCGTCATATCGAGGACCTGGACAACAGGGGAAGACGACATAATTTAAGGGTACGTGGTGTCCCTCAAGCAATTGAATCGAGCCAACTCACCCAAACGCTCTTAACCATTTTTAATGATCTTTTGAAAAGACCACAGGAGTCTCCTATTGAGATCGAACGCCTCCATAGGGCTCTACATCCTAGAGGTAGGGACATTGATCCCCCGAGAGATATAATTTGCTGCTTAGTCGACTTCCGACTCAAGGAAGAAATATTACGCAGAGCACGAGAAAGAAACCGCGTGATATACACAGGTGAAACTCGAAAAATTAGAATATCGTGCAAAAGTTTATTTCAGTAATGCAACTTAAAAGGTGAAACTAATATATGAGATAGACTCATTACATGCAAAGCAAGATAGTTCAAGCTGTGATTTGTCATAATTGTGATGATTATGGTTTACAGCTTACAGATCATGGCTTAAACCCCAAATCCACAATCTCAGAAAATTAGAACATTACATGCAATCAATAAAACAAGGATTGTACATAGAACAATATCGAAAAGTATAAGCATGCATATGTATTCAGTACTTGGTTTGGGCCCCTTTTGCAGCAATTACTGCCTCAATGTGGCGTGGCATGGAAGCTATCCGACTTTGGCACTGCTGAGGTGTTATGGAAGACCTGGATGCTTCAATAGTGGCCTTCAGCTCTTCTGCATTGTTCGGTCTCATGTCTCTCATCTTTCTCTTGGCAATGCCCCATAGATTCTTTATGGGGTTCAGGTCAGGTGAGTTTGCTGGCCAATCAAGCACAGTAATCCCACGGTCATTAAACCAGGTTTTGGTGCTTTTGGCAGTGTGGGCAGGTGCCAAGTCCTATTGGAAAATGAAGTCAGCATCCCCATAATGCTCGTCTGCGGAAGGAAGCATGAAGTGCTCCAAAATCTCCTGGTAGACAGCTGCGTTGACCCTAGACTTAATGAAGCACAGTGGACCAACACCAGCAGATGACATGGCTTCCCAAATCAACACAGACTGTGGAAACTTCACATTGGACTTCAAGCATCTTGCAGGGTGTGCCTCTCCATTCTTCCTCCGTACTCTGGGTCCTTGGTTTCCAAATGAGAGGCAAAAGTTGCTCTCATCAGAAAAGAGGACTTTGGACTATTGAGCAACAGATCAGGTCTGTTTTTCTTTAGCCCAGGTAAGACGCTTCTGACGTTGTTTGTTGTTCTGGAGTGGCTTGACAAGAGGAATATGACATTTGAAGCC